CACAGCTAGACTTGCTCTTGGATGGAGGATCCGTTGACCCAACATTTGCTAAAGAACTATTTGAGAAACAATGCTTTCTACAAGGTATTCAGAGCTTACAAATTTTCAATGTTTGTCTGGTCAGTTAGCTCAAACTATCTCCCTGAAGAAATAAGTATACATTTTGTTTCTCCAAAGTTTTGAAGTATTTCCAAATTTAGGTAACTTTGAATGTACTAAAAGCCTGTACAAAGTATAGGGGAGAACTTTATGTTGCCTCTAACAACTAGTTTGGAATCAAATGGTTGAGTTTTACTTGGGTTGGATCAAAATCCATTAGAAGTTATTTTTTCTTTTCATTCTCTGTTATAGGAAGGTTAAAATCATGTAATAGTAAATTAACTTTTCATTCTTTGTAGGTTTTTCAAATGTCCAGCCAAAATGTTGATGCTGATCAGAGAATAACTCATGATCTAGAAAAGTTAACCTCTGACTTGTCAGGACTTGTCACTGGAATGGTTAAGCCTACTGTTGACATTCTGTGGTGAGTGCTTGTCTCAGTTTATTATGGTTAGTTGTTTGGTTCTTCTAGGATCTTGTATTGCAGATCAGACTCCCTACTCTTCCTCAATTCTAATGATTGCTGAAACTAAATAGGTTCACATGGAGAATGAAGCTATTAACAGGTCAGAGAGGAGTTGCCATATTGTATGCATATATGTTACTTGGTCTGGGTTTTCTGAGGACTGTTACTCCTGAATTTGGTGATCTGGCAAGTAAAGAACAACAACTTGAAGGGACATTTAGGTGATTTTTGTTATTATTATATTGTGCTAGCAAAGAATGATTCCATAAACACCTTCCTGACTTTCTATATCCTGCATGAATTAGGTTCATGCATGAAAGGTTGCGCACTCATGCTGAATCTGTTGCATTTTTCGGAGGTGGTGCTCGAGAAAAAGCTGTAAGCTACTTAAACTCTATCATTATTGTACATACTGTTCTTTCAAAAAACAAAATTATTGTATATACTGTTTTTGTGTGTCAGTTGATTTTAACTTCTTGATCAATAGGGACATCAGTGTTTTGCTGAAAAACAGAATCTTTTAAGTCATATTTGCATGTGTTCTTTTAATTGTTTTGTCATCATCTTTACAAGTATTTATTAGCAGAACCTGCAGGTGTAAAATTTTCAGTTTCTAATTATCAAACTGCATTTTAATTTGCATCTGCCTCTCAATGGTTTAAGCAGCTGGAAAGTAGTTTGTTTCAACAGTCTTGTCTCTAGGACTTGTGGGAAATGAACCAGCTATGTTATTTGTGATTGTACCACTTCTGAATGAGCATTCTGTACTTTAGGCTGAAAACTTAGTTTGATGTTTGGAATGAGTCATTATGCAGTATTCACATCATTGTTAGTTTTAAATGAGGACGTGAAAATTATTTTTAGATTGATCCCCCTTGTTTGCAGTATCCATCTTACAACTTCCTTGTTCTGAGCAGATGGTAGAGTCAAAATTCAGAGAGCTTCTTGATCACTCTGTCTTACTTCTGAAGAAAAAATGGCTCTTTGGTATACTAGATGATTTTGTGACAAAGCAGTTACCACATAATGTGACTTGGGGCTTGAGCTTGTTATATGCTATTGAACATAAGGGAGACCGATCCTTGGTTTCAACACAAGGTGAGATTTGTATGATGGTGAGACACAACCATACTCTATCTTTGTTCCTCTCTTGCTCATACCAATTCAATGTTCAGGGGAGCTGGCACATGCATTGCGGTTTCTAGCATCTGTTGTGTCCCAGAGCTTTTTAGCCTTTGGAGACATCCTCGAATTGAATAGGAAGTTTGTTGAGCTCTCTGGTGGTATCAATCGAATTTTTGAGCTTGAGGAGCTTCTGGATGCTGCTCAGTCTGGTAAATCTATCTTTAGTATCTCATTAAGTTTTTCAGTGAATTACTTACTTCATTTAAGCATCTTTAATTTTGACGGAAGAATTGTTTATGTTTTTAAATCTAGCAGAATTCTTTTAGTTTCAATTGTTATTGGTATCTTTCTTTCTTTTCTAATACCTTAACTTTGCTAACTGTTAATATTTGACTAGTAGGCTTTTTTCTTGATACTGGTGATATTTTTGGAGAAAATTTGAGAGCTTTCTTGGTAATGTACTAGAATACTACGAAGACAACACAATGATTCAGTGCTTCCATAGATGGTTCGCTAGGTACCAATAGATTTAGATGCTTAACTTCATTGAGTGCAGTATGAAATACGTGACTTCACCATGATTAGAGAACATTCGTTCTTTCCATTGTTTGATGAATATGAACATATGACTACCCTCTACCCTTTAAGTATCCACTCCCTTGATGAATATTAAGTTCCATTTATTGTAGGTACGTATGTAGACCTACTATTTGGCAGTAGGAACATGATGGTTAATCCTAGATTTTCCTCCGTACTGATGACTATTAATAATTAAGAAATGATTAATACATAGCTCTTCTTGAAAAGCCTGGCCAAAATTTCCTAAAGTCATTCTTTCGAGAAGTTGCTTGTTGGAAGCACACTCAATCTTGAGCATGAAAAAAGAGCCTAAGTTTAAGCTCATCATACAAAGCAAGTGCTCTTTACAGGATGTATGAAGTCAGAGCATCTTTGCCCCCAAATTCTTTTCTTCAATAAGATTGGGACTGAAGCCAAGACCTCATATCGGTTTAGGAATACCATGTAATTCTCCGAAAAAGATCAATTTACACCTTATTTGGATAAATCTTAGTGATGATTAATTAATGTCTGACAATAACAGTGATTGGATAATAGGATGGTATAGTTGTATTTTCAGTCAAATTACGAATTTATTTATATCTATTATATGTAGTAGTAAATGGTATATAAGAAGTATGTAATGAAAAAAAATAAATTGTTTACCAATATAATTACATTTGTATTTAAATAAATAATTATTATACATAATCAAATTAAATTTTTATATTTAGTAAAATAAATAATAATTTGTGAGAACAAAAATGTAATTAAATATATTATATTGGGGTATAAGGGGAAAAAAAGTAACCTGTCGATTACATACTATCGATTCGATAATTTTAAAATTCATTCCAAATTTGTCAGTTAAATATCTTTTGCTACTATTAGAAGTTAAAATAAATATGATTTTCTCACACCCGTAGAGTACCATACATTAAAATTCTATTATTCACTACGATCCAAATAGGGTGTTAAATTCTCTAATTGTTTTTTCTATACTAATGTAGTTCTCTAAAGAACTGGTAAATATTATTGCTAAGGAAAATCGTTGTACTAAGAAAGCTTAATTTTTCATGCTCTTGCTACGGTTAACCTATTCTCTTCGAATAATTTGTCCAATCCAAGAAAAGCCATAATGTCCCCAAGTTCTTTATACGTTTTTAACTTTGCCTAACTCTTTCGCGTTTTCATAATGCTCCTCACCTATGACTTGAGGATAGAGCATAGTTGATGTTGAGTCTAAAGGATCTGTTACCTATTGCATCTAATTCTCTTGATAATACTGTAGTGGCATTTAAATGTGCAAATGCATCTTTATCTGTTCATAGGACTATGATAATTTGATGTTTTTATTGATTAAATGTTTGTTTCCCAAGCAAGTTTATGTTTAGTGCTAAACTGAGAAGGGTGAAAAACAATCTCTGAGATTTTCAGAAAATGTAATATTTTATTTTTGGATTAAAGATTTAAAACATAGGGTTTTCTTATACTATATAGATGCTGCATGGCTCTTGATTCCAAGAAGTGGATCATCTCCTTAATTTTGTTGTCTTTTCTTTGGGTTATTTGGAGGAATATAAATAGGAGAGCTTTTGAAACTTTATCCTCACTTTTTCTGCAATTGAATATAACTGGTTAAGGATTTTCAATCATTTGCTCAAAGGCTAACCGATTCAAGATTGGATCAATAGTAGATATGTTGGATTTTTTGTTCTTGAGTGATTTGTAAAGTCTTTCTACTTCTCCTTATTTCTTGAGTCTAGTAGCTGGACTTCATGGCAAGTGGTACCTCACTCGATCTTATAAGTCATGACCCTCTTAATTCTTGATGAAGGTGGAAGTTCAGAATACTCTTAATCTAATGAGGTAGTGTTTGATAGCTTGAAGGGGCAATTATTGGTTGGGAAGAAGTGAATAGATGATGAAGAACTGGAAGATCCTAGAATGGACATGCTTTAATGTTTTGAGTACTTATATTATATAATCTTTTATATTGATGGTATTTAGCTTGTTCGGGTACAAATAATGGTTTTTGGACAATTATCTTAAAACTTAGGTTAATAGGAAAAATATGATTGTATTATTTAAAATTTAACATCCTATTGTGTGCAAGTCTGCCAAGCTGATTGCTGTCCTAAAAACTTAAGCAAACACGAAGAAGGTTTATCTGTTATCTATAATAACAGTCTCTTATGTGTAAGTCTGTCAGGTTGAAAGCATGGTCGAACACATGCTTATCGTATATTCTGCTCAAATTTAGTTAACATAAAAAAGGGGGCAGTTGGCAGTCTATCTTAAGATCTCTAGTTTTGACATCATGTAATAATTAATTAATTTCTCCTAGGTTGACAGAAAATAACTGAATCTATAGATATTTAAGCAGAAACTATTAAGAATAGGCTTAGTAGGGTAGAATTTTCACTTCTTACTTGGCTAAAAAAAGTCTTATTTTGTTATTATTTTCCTGTTTAAGCATTTTAATTGTATTAGGCTATGTAAATATCCTAAATAGGTAGGTGATTCAAAATTATATTAGAAGACTACTTATTAAGAACACAAGGATATTCTCTCATTCATTCAGTGAGTGCCTAATGGCTTGTCCTTGAGATTGTGTTTGAAATCTATCTGTGTTATTGTGGATTATATTTTTTCTTTCCTTTTTCTATTTTTTCTTTTTTTAAAAAAAGCTTCTTTTCTTTTTCTGTTGTTCTGACTCCCATTTCACTATGTTTCAGCAATAAGAGGGCAGGCCAAGATAGGTATATATTGAGTTTGGGTTGCACTGTGTTGGAACTTATAAATTTTTTCTAATTTAGATTTGGTAACTCTTGGACAAAACAAAAGAAACTGTACAGTTACTGAGTTACTCTTATGTCATCATGTGTTTGATTTTTAATGCATGAACTTAGTTAAAAAATGAACAGTGTTTTTTATTAAAATGTTAAATTATTCACACAAAATTGTTATTCTAAAATTATGTAGTCAGTTTACTTAAAATGATTTTGATCTAAAAGAAAATGTTAGCTTAATTTTTTTAAAAGTATGTAGAAGAAAACACACAAACATCAATTATCATTACTATACTGATATTGAAGATTTCGAATAACTAATAATAAAAAAACCTTTATCAAAATATGAAGTCCATGATTAAAATGGGTAAGGTTAATTTGGGCATGCCAACAAATAGTTGAGGCTAATAGGGGCATGTTAAAAATTATGGTTTTTCCTCCATAAAAATATTTACTCCAATGGTTTTCCATGGGATTCAATTTTCTATGGAGGATAACTTTTTGTGCTGTTCTCTCTTTTTTGCCACCAACAGACTGCAGTCCTATAATCCTGCTGACACCAAATGTTACCTAAGTCAATCATCAAAGGACTTTACTAAGCTAGTCCACGCCTTCTTAGCTATTTTCTTGTGCACCTTCTTGTTTTATATCCTTCTCCATATAACACCTTCCACGGCGATAAGTCCTCTCATTCATGCTGGTTATTAGAATTAGTTGACTCATTTGCTCTGTCTGCAATCTAATTACTTGGATATCTTTGCTAGATTTTTGTTTGCTTTCTCATGTTTACTCAAAAATACAAATTAAAATTAACATGGTCTGTTGGCCAACCACTGGGTTCTGGACCAGATAATTCCTTGAAATCGAAGAGCAGTGAACTTTACTCTCTTGACGTTATTTCCTTTTCTGAGTGGATATCATTACCCCAGCACAGAAATTGTTGGGCCAGGCAATTGACTTGTGACATAATACCTGGGAGAAGCCTACTTGTTACAGTGAGTAAAGTAATTACTGTTGCTTACATTGTCAAATGAGCTTACATCTGACATGACTGTGATTTGGAAGGTCCAAATGGGAGCGGGAAAAGTTCTGTTTTCAGAGTCCTTAGAGGTCTTTGGCCCATTGTGAGTGGACGCCTTGTCAAACCATTCCTTCAGATTGACAAAGAAAGTGGATCAGGTCGTGGTGTCTTTTATGTTCCCCAGAGACCATATACGTGCTTAGGAACACTGAGAGATCAAATTATATATCCTCTCTCTCACGAGGAAGCGGAACTAAGGGCCGTAAAGTTGCATCGAACAGGTAAGATCTTTTATAAATTATATGCCTTCATTAGCTCAAGTTTTCAGTTCTCCTACTAACTTTGTATAAATCAAGGAGTCATCATGATTTGATGTTGATAATGCTGGAATGTATCTTAAGTTTTCTACTTTGGCAACTTAGAAGCTGCAAAACTTAAATTCTTTCTTGGGAGACTCGAACAGTTTCATGTCTGAGGAAGACCATGTTTTATGCCTTGTTCTTTTCCCCGTCCCACTTGAAACAACCTGAGGATGTTCTTCTTAGCTGAGGGTTTGAATTATCTCCTTATGTCAGTTCCAAGATAGATATTCTTTGTTATATATGAGTCATTTTCACACATTGTTCTGGAAATCTCTCTCATGGTTTATATCAAATCGCTTTCAAGAGCCATAGAGGGCTGACCCAAGTTCAACTTAAGAGATTGAAAGTGTTTTTTATGTTCATCTGAAAGTGTACCAGAATTGATTACCTGCCAGCTATAAAATCATGAATCCTTGTCGGTGGTCTTTTATAATTTTTCTGTTATTTTGTTATATGAGCAATTGTTTGTTAGAGGAGCAAAGAGGAATATTTCTTATCTGCTGATTAAGATTATGCCAATTTCAGGTCAAGGTTCTGGTGACACCGAAAGCATTCTTGATTCTCGATTAAAAACTATTCTAGATAATGTTAGACTTAATTATCTTTTGGAAAGGGAGGAAGATGGGTTGGATGCAAACCTGAATTGGGAAGATATCCTTTCTCTTGGAGAGCAGCAGAGATTAGGCATGGTGAGTGATCTAAGGCACCATGAAGTTTAGCTTGACAGAATTATTGGTTATATGATATGAGTGGAACTTCGAGCTATATTGCCTAACTGTTTTATGTTTTACTAGGCACGTTTGTTCTTTCATCAGCCCAAGTTTGGTATTCTTGATGAATGTACCAAGTATGTATTGTGACCTTATATATCATTCTTTTGTCTTGTGTTTAAAAAAGGCTTACTGTTATCTAACAGGAGCTATCTTTTCCATAATGTTAGTGCCACAAGTGTTGATGTTGAGGAACAACTTTATAGACTTGCAAATGATATGAGTATCACGGTCATTACCTCCTCACAGGTAACAATTGCATGCAGTATGGTTGACATGAACATGTAATTACTTTATTTGTGTGCTTGAACACAGTAGTAAATGGTGATTCTTATTCAGTAATTACACAAATATTAAATAATTACTAGACAAAGTTACTGAATTATTATCAAATTTTAGAAAGAGACTATAGAGGCATCATAAATTCTTCCCCCAAATATTTTGCAATGTCATCTCTTGCAATGTTTTAAATTGCCTCCAACCTTAATCGTCTCCATCTCTTATTTTCTTTTGCTTGGTGTTTCCATCTCTTATTATCTTTTGTTTGGTGTCATTTCAGCGCCCTGCTCTAATACCATTCCACTCCTTTGAATTACGGCTCATTGATGGTGAAGGTAACTGGGAGCTTCGTGCAATTAAGCAATGAATGGCCCTACTCTGTAAGATGATATATTAGCTGTTATTTTTGCATGGAATCTGGTTTCAGTCAAAATTCAAGTTCCTTATATATGATAGAATTGATCAATTTTAGCATAAATCAGAGAATTGGGTTATCTTGGTAGTACATATTTCGGCCGAAAAGGATCCCCAATCACAAGTTTTTTGCCGTGATACGGAATATTTATTGGTTTGACCTATGCTCCTGAATCATACTTGTGCTCAGTGCAGTAGAGGCCAAAAGGTGAACTGGTCCTCGTCAAATATTTTAGCGTATAAGCTATCAAAGTTTAGTTAGGGATATTTCCATTGGAACATAAAAGTACGTCATAATTTTTGTAGCTGCAATTAAATCATTTAATGTACAGTTTCTTTCTCTTTTTGATCTCGGCTCTATTTTTGGGATACGTTGCCCATTAGTGTTGTAAGAATTAGATAACTGATTAATTTGATTGATTCCCTTGAATAAAAATGTGGGGAATATAATCTTTTTTTCTTCCAATTCTGTGTATTTGTATGAGAGATTCTCTAATTAATCTCTTATATATATGTGTGTGTGTGTGTATATATATATTGTTGATTTTGAGACTACTGTCTTTGCATTCTAACCTTGCATTAATAGCATGGTCAGAAGTGACTTCTGCTTCAATCTTTTGCTTCATGAAGTGGGGGTTGAGGAGGCTAGAGGAGATTCAATTTTCTTCCGAATCTCACTTTTCATGAGTAGGTGATGATTATCTGAAAATTTATTTTCGGTGATGGATATATGCAAGAGTAATATTCTCTTTCTATGAAGATTGCATTCAGTTATATTGGACTTCAATTGTTAGTTATAATTTTCCTGTTTATCTTAATTTTCATTAATTAGTTCAATTCTTTTTCTATTTCCACCCTAATTTCGAATCCTTTGATGGTAAAATTAAATTCTTGTATTTGAATATGGAAAGTTGAATTTCTATCAAGAAATTTATAGGGTGGATAATAATCCTAACATTCTGTTTGGATCATGTTAAATGGTAAAATTTTAATATATGATATTTTACGGACGTGAAAAAATTGTGTTTGTTTCAATTTTTAATGATAACAAATGGTATTTGACTGTTAAATCGTGGGATGAATTTTTAAACTATTAATTTGGTGGTATTTATTGGGTATTTTATTTATTTTTTATTATACTTTTATCTAATTTAATTAATTTTCTATGTTTTGATAATTAAAAATTTATTAAATTAATATAGTAATATAAATAATAATTATTTATTTAAATATAAATATAATTATATTGATAAATATTTTTTTTATATTATTTATTATTACATATAATATATAGAGATAAATTAATAATTTAATTAAAAATATAATCATATCATCTTATTATCTAAATAAAAATATATCATTAATATATATTAATATACTATTATTTAAATTTAAAAAAAAATTATGTTATTATAATTTTGTGTTATTATCATTTAATTACTGTCATTATTATATATTAATTAAGTATTATTGAAATTTATTTAAAGAAAGCCGAAGAATTTAACAGTAAACTGGAGAAATAAAAATAATAATTTGATAATAACCTCTTTATAAATTTGATTGTTTATTTTTTTTAAGGTGAAAAACAGAAAAAGTATACTATATTATGTAAAATAATTTTTTATAAATATGTACACCAGAAACAGGGGAGGACCTGCACGTTCTTGTGCTGAAAAGGATAACTCTTGAGATTCGTTTTATATCGGGAAAAAAAAAAAATGTTGGATTGTGCTGGTTCCAGTAGATCAAGGATGCCGCCTCAGCGTTCTCATGTAGGTCATGAATCAAAATAGGAGTGGTTGAATATCAATTTATAAACTCTTGGAAATGCTGAAAATTTCACAACCGTTAATTGTCTTCTGCGCTTCTAGGAAATGTAAATAAATTTTGTTCCAATAAAATTTTGAACCTATTAAATTCATTCACTATGTTATGCCTGTAGCACAATAAGCAGATCTTTAAAAAAAATTAATTAACTTGTTTCCCCAACATTAATAATTTAATTTAATGGTGGGAGACGAAGCCACCTCATGGCCACAGATAAATACCAGCAATAATATATATAGATATATACACACACATATATTCTTTATATTTTGTCATAATACGATGGCCACCTTTGTTTTGAAGCAGTTCTCTACTTGGAAGATAAGTAAGTATTCATGATGGTGATTAAGTTAGTGGGAGATCATGTGTGTTGGGACAATTTTTTAATTAGCTCCAGAATAATGTGAACATATCCTCCTATGATCTTACTTATGTTTATCTCTTATTTTTTTAAAAATAAAAAAAGAAAAAGGAAACGGTATCTATCAAATGGGGAATTAGGATTAAGGATTTGAATTACTGATACGGTATCCAATTGTCTTTTATTCAATTGGGTTCCTGATATATATTTAATGAACTGTGTGAGTGTGTGTGTGTGTGTGTGTGTGTGCGCGCGAATTTATTATGTTGTAGGCTTCAGTCGTCTTGCCAACGTGTTAACCACAATCAGCTTCTTGATTGGCCTAGCCTGCTATACAAACAAAAGATCAACTCCTGCACATCTCCTTCCAAATTGAAGATTATTACTATTATTAATTAACCCAATTGAGAAATAAAGTGGGTATCCTTCAAGGATCTCTTAAGGATACTCTTCTCCCTAAGCCTGTTGAGTTGTAAAGTACTTGAAACAACTTTTTAGCATTGAAAAATTGGGGAGGGGGGAAGAACACTTTACCAAGCTGGCTCTAACTTTCTAAACATCCATTACTTATATAGCTCCATACTATTATTATTATTATTATTATTATTATTGTGGCTCTGATTCTCTCAATCTCTGTTTTGCGTGCCAACACAATAATTTTCTTAAACTAGTACTGCTTAGTGGTTTGCTTGCGGCATGTTTCAACTTCATGTGAATCATTAGATCAACCTTAAATAATGATAGTTTCTTTTTTGGTTAATTATATATATGTGTCTTTGTATATGTTTTATTAATCTATGCTAGTTGATAGGAAGGTTATCTTTCTGTTCTTTTCCGACATTAAAGTAACTCTAAATAGTTATTGATAATGTGCGTGTGTGGGTCATTTTAGATTTTTCAAACCAAAATGCATTAAATAATGTTACATCTATGGTATATGTTCATCTAGTGCATTTTAAATTTTTCTTCTAAAATGCTATTCTCAAACAACTTAATTGATCATAGTATAAAACACATTCCCTACCAATTGAACTAATCTTGGTAGATAGATACATATATATGTCCTAATTCGCTATTATGCTTGGACCAATCTTATATATATGTAATCTAGCTTGGATTATATAGCCATATGAAGTAAACTAGACAGAATATGTTTTTTTTTTTTTTGAAAATAAATTATGAATATTTTATTAAGCACTTATTTGTTAAAAGAAAAAATACAAATAGAAGTATCGAAACCGTTCTATCTTAGTCCTACACTTGCATAAAAGAAAAAAATTTAAAAAACCGCGATTAAGGTCATTATATGGGATTTGAATTTGTATTTTGAAGTTATAAGCCTTAAAAAAGTACCATGAATCATGATCATCATATGAGATTTGGATTTGATGCAGAGCTTTTACCGTATCAACAACAAAATTTCTTTGACAATTAAGGATAGACCAAACCTATTTAAGAATCTTCTTGTCCAATTTACTTTTAACGATAAATGTTACATATTTGTTGAGGTATGGCTCTGCTCATTCACCAATTTGCCTTAAACTATATGGGGATACTGAAGAGAATTTATGGTGGAGGAAGATGTTTGGATTTGAATCTTTCTGGTTAAGGGAAAATGAGTGCTATGATATCGTGAAAACAACATGGGATATTGAGGGGAACCAATTTTTTATGTGTGTCAAAGAGAAAATTAAAAGATGTATGAAGTAACTGATAGAGTTGAATAAGAACGTTGTAGTACCCTAAATTAATTTTAATTGTATTTAAATTGATGTATGAATATTATTTTTTAATTTTTAAATTTTTTATTTAATGAAAAAATGAAGAAAAATGGGTGGAGAATGAAATTGAAAACAATTTTGGGAAAAATGAGTGAAAATTTGGGTTTTGAGAGTGTTTTTGAAAGAAAAATCAAAAATTGGGAGTCAAAACGTAATTTAAAAAAATTATGACATGTAGGACACCCAATCAGCAACCTCGACGAATCGGAGCATGCCGCATGGTAAGGAATTGCGATATTGGCCGAAAGGGGCCCTAGGTCTGATTCTGAGATTTTTGGGACACGTGCAGGTACCGGTAGCGTGTTTCAGTTTTTCGGAAAAAAAAATTCAGGAAATTTAGGGATAACCCGCAGGCGCTCGGAAAAGCCTATTTCGGGTCCCAAAAACAAGTAAGGATTCCTCACCCTATTCCCTATCACGGTATTAAAGTGTAATAAATGATAAAATGGTATTTCATGAATCAATAGCTGTGTGAAATTGTTTAAGGTTGCTAATGGAGCCCGAGTCTAGTGTATTTGTCAGTCAGTTGTTGTTTGTTCTATTTTACAGTTTTAAATGCAGTATGATGTCTGATGTTTTTATTTCATAGTTTCGTGTGCATGTATCACTGTTTCATTGATTATGGACTGAATGACTGAGAACCCGATGTTGTGTGTTGTCTTGTTGGCGTGAACTACTGGTTTGCATGTTTGTGTGTGACTTGATGATGGTGACTAAAGAAAAAGGGATAAAAGGTTATGTGAATTGGCAAACGGATAATGTAGACAGCCTGACTAGGTATCCTGGGAGATGGTGGACGGACCGGGTCCGTAGGAAACCCTACTGGGAACGTGGTCTCTCATACCGGACGGGGTATGGAGACCTTATATGTTTTGGCGCCCATACCGGACGGGGTATGGGGACAGCCCGTTTCACCCTCATACCGGACGGGGTATTGAGGTTCATGGTTTTGGCGCCCATACCGGACGGGGTATGGGGACGACCCTGGAATCAGGTTATAAATGTTAAGGGTTCACGGGTAACGGGACCCATATGGATCCCCATGAATACTAGTAGGCTGGTAAAGAGGAATTATGTTGTTTAAAGATTGAAATGCAAACGCGTGATAAATGTTGTATTATAAGATCTATGTGATAACGTGATGATGATAATGTGTTGCTTGTGTATTATTTTATGGATCTCACCCAGGTAAATGGAAAGTAAACGTTTTTATGAACAAATGGGTTTATTACAAATTATGCTCCATTGGTCGTTTTTGTTTTCTACCCACCCTTACTCCTGTGGCAGTGAGGTAGAGTGATGTCTTTACTGGGCTAGTGTAGCTCACTCCTTACTTAACCATTTCAGATCAGGAAGACGTGGTTCCCGAGCCCGTTCCGCAGGAAGACAGCGAAGGGGACGCCTAAAGATCCCATAGTTATAATGTAGTTCTTACTTCCGAGTATTTATTTTAATTAGTTTATTCCCTCATTTGTTGAACACGTTTTGGTATTGCGT